CAAATTCAATATAATATTTACTGAAGGTCGCCGCTACTCGGACTAGCACATAAAAGTCGAAAACATTTTTTTTTATGAATTTAATTATAGCCGTAACCATACAATTTTGTCATCGTAATCTTAGCATCCCCTAATCTTGTGGGTTCTGTTTATATAGTCTATTTTCATTTTGTTTGTTTGTTTGTAATTATTGTTGATATGGTCATGATCCGCGTGAAAAATCACTTATTTTTATTCTCTAAACATAAAAGCTCGTAATCGATTTATTCAACTAGCTCTGGAAGGGCTTTTCGTGTCCTGCAAAGTGCCGCCGTCGATTCATAGTGAAAATTCATTGGGACACGGTACCGAAAACGGCCAAGGAGGTGGGATTTAAAGGCAATCACTTACGGAATACCAATCTATTACCAGATTAGGATGAAACCTCGTATTTGAAAGTAGACGTGCTTGAGTGAAAACTGCGACCGGAGTCTAGTGGATATTACCAACTAAACGCGTTTGGAATCTCTTCTAAGAATAACGATTGACTAGTGCAAAAACTGCCACACGTTATATCGCCGGTGACATTTCTATATAACAGCAGCGCTAGCAGTAGCAGGCAGGTGGTCTTAGGTAACCCGCCTATGGGCTATAGGCTGCTTCGGGATGTGTGATCGATGGACACCTTCATTCAAATTTATACGCACAATCCAAAAACGTGGCTGCTAAACGTTTTTCTTTATGAGGTTAGGTCATAGGGAACGCATGTGAACGTGTTGAGGTCCATTGTTCAGGACGACAGCGTGCTTAAGTACTAGCCGCATTTATTGTGAAAGGCCGCCACAGCTCATGTGTGTATTTAGCTTCTTTTCCGTCAAAGAAAACCACTGCTCTCAAGAATTATCCCTAAATGCATTATCTATTTATAAAATATATTCCACAGAAATATCTGTTAAAAATTATACCATGTACAAACGTGTATGAACGTTCATGTTCTTGCGTTCGTTTCGCAACTGAAACTTCCAAAGGGACATCTATAGAAAAATAGGGAAAAATAGTAAATCTTTTTTCTGTCTTCCCTGTCGATTTATAACAGTACAGAAAAAAAAAATCATAGTCGATTTACAACAGTCGAAGTTCCGCCGTGGTGGTACGGGTGGTCTCGTGCATGTCCGAACAAACTCTCGATATAGATAAACGCCTGATGCTATTTAAGGCCCAGACAGCCTCCATCCCCTTTCTCCTCTCGCTGTTTATCTTCATCTGTATGCGCTTATCTATATTATAAGTGTAATCGTAAGCGACTCACAATCGGTATATTCATTGGTAAAAATTGACGTCGTTGAATATCGGCGTGATCATCGCCAGCGTTCCTCCCTCTGATCACTTCCATTTATCTGCCTCGTACTCGTCCATGTTGATGCCTAGGACAGCCAGTAAAAACGAGACATGATCCACATCTAGACAAACACACTACGCGTTCACCTATTCAGCGAAACGACGACACAGACTGACAGCGTGCAATCAACAATCCATGCAGGTAAATACATGTAACGTAATACACATACATATATATATATCTATATAAACACAAATATATGTAACGAGAGTGAAAGGCCCAATCCGTCGCACCCCGTTCCATTGTACTGGGAACCGTTAGCAAGCAAATATTGTCGTTGTGGGGAACCCTCGTCGGCTTGATTACTACTGTTAGACTACCGTCGAGGCACGGCAAACTGCCGCTGAAAGTAGCTGCTACTGATCCCGTTGTCGTTGCTACAATCAACGAAATGCTCAGCGCCGGCCACAATGGGTGGAAGGTCCGTTTGCTGTTGTCGATCCTCGTGTTGCTGCCCCATTGTAACGTTAGCCTTCGCTCGCCTGCTTTGAACAGGGCTGTCTGCCCTCTGCTACCGGTTATGTTATCGCGGCTTCTGCTCTCGCGTTTTTGATGACGATATTCTTGATGGCGTCGTCGTCGTCGTCGTCGTCGCCTACACAACTTCCCGACGCCCAGCGTTTGTATCCGCTTGTTCGTAGGTACGGTTGCAATGTACGAGTGGTAATAGAAGTTGGGCAAGACTAGACGATGGCTGCGTCAAGTGGACACGGTGTCCATAGGCGACGTGTGCCGACGCTGCGTACGCAATGCTGAGATTTTGCCAGCAAATACACAGGCGTCAACCAGAGATAGCAAATGATCGAACTGAAAGACTGTTAGTGAAGCTACTATTAATTCGCTGATCCATGATCTCGCAGATCGCACGACTCACAACGTTGCCAAAGCTATCGGTAGGAGCTATTGTTATTCAAATTTAATTGAGCTGGGGCAGTGTCGAACAAATGCTTCTTCGACTCTATCTCAGTAGATATTTTACCTATGATATCTAGGGAAATCGCTGGATAGACACACTTTCGTCGTCTGTAGCCAGATAACTCAAGCAGCTAGCAGATCGACCAATAACTTTATAGTATGTTGAACAGTATGATATACGTTAACGACGCGTCTCTCCTTCTGGTCTTGATCTTTCAAGTTATTGAGTTGGCTCTTCTTTTTTGTCGGACGGTAACAACGACTCGTTGTTAACTACGACAGTTACCCAATCAACTAGCTGATTTACTCCGAGTCGGCGTCCAAGCGTTAAGATTTCGGCTAGTGACAACGAGTAGGTGTCTCTGACTCTCAGTTCCACCGAAGCATCACTTCCTGTCCAATTTGTTTGTCGCTTATTGACTTCAAGAACGATAAAGCTCGATCGAGCTGTCGCGTTCACTTTTGCTTGCTCATGATTTGAACGACTATCGGCAGTTTGTGACGGCTAATGTTCACCCTATCGTCGTGCCGGTAGCGATTGCTGTCGTAGGGGGTAATTAGGTCTGAAGGCGTGTCGTTCCTAGCTGGCTCTGAAGCTCGTAAACAGGTCACAGCAGTTCTAAAAGGTTTCCGGCAATGTGATCATTTTGATACCCTGGGTTTATTGACAAATTTTGATGTTATGCCAATACTGCTATAGCGCTTAACGTTGTCAACGGCTGTGAACCGTTAGTAAACGAATACAAATTGGGTCCTAGGGGTAACGCATGCACCCCGCGCACTGCGGAGGAACAGCAGTAAAATTGTTTCGAATCACCAAACACTGGCTAAAGCATGATAATCAAAATACCAATGCTACTAACGACGATTCTCGCTGCTATACATAGGCTAGAGATAAGTTTGCAAAGAGTTTCCTCTGAGTGCGCATACTCCACTTGCGCGCAGTGGCAACTGTACCAGAAAAAACCCATAGAACCTTCGTTAAATTATGTAGAACATGAAACTGTATCCGACATATGGCAACATTCTACTCTATCAGCCAGCTCTGATTCAACTTTATGTTCAATGAAATAATTTACACTTGAGCAGGGTCCTATAGAGGATTAGGAACCGATCCGTAGGGATAGCGATTGAGCGGATGAACGTAAATCGCAGAAGTGACAGACCCATCGCTGCAAATTCCAGTGGAGTGAGGAGAAAATAAATAGGACAGTTGCGGACGGTCATTGCGAGGAGAAGTTCAAAGTGAGGTTATAGTTAGTAGGTGGCGAGCGACCATGCCAGCCGAGGCGTAAAAATCGGGCGGGGCATTAAAAGAACAACACAGAAACCAATCCCTACGTTCGTATGATTATTACAGAATATCGATAATGAAAATACAAGTTGAAACTATTAAAAGTTATTACTAGTTAGTTACTCAGCCATGTGGCTTTCTCCTGGGATTACATTCAGTACATAAATGATCCAGACTGAATTGCCTGTTAACTAACTAATTAGCTTGTGTCTTTTACGCTGGTGAGGTTGCCGAATCTTCAAAGCCTTCGACCACGGATCGTAAGACAGTCACGAAACACTCACTATTAAATATCGTTTATAAACATAATTTATCTGATTATTCTCTTAACATATTTGCTTTATAGAACAGAACAGATTTACTGAGTACGATATCATTTAGTCCATTGGGGTGCGCATATACAGCTTTAATCGTCACATTGCAGATGGCGAAACAGTCATCAATGACTGCAGTGATTCTCCTGATGAAAAGGCTCACCTTTGGAACGAAAGCGGTTTAGGTTAAGGATAGTTTCACTTAACAACTAGACAACCAACAGAAGGGCTGTAACGTGCTCCGATTAGTTGGAGACATTGACCCGGATGACCTCGGATAGATCACATGAACGATAGATACGAGACCCTTGTGGGCTCTCTCTCTCTCTCTCTCTCTCTCTATATATA